AGCCACCATGCCCAGCTGCATTGATTTTTTTAATTTCAATTTTATTTATTTATTTTTTGCTCTAGTCTTTATTAGTTCTTTTATTCTACTAATTTTGGGCTTGTTTCCTCTTGCTTTTCTGGTTTCTTTAAGATGTATTGTTAGATTGTTTACTTGAAATTTTTCCTCTTTTTTGATATAGGCACTTAATAGCTATAAAAATCACTCTGAGTACTGTTTTTGCTGCTGTATCCCAGAGGTGTTGATATGTTATGTCTCCATTGTCATTTATTTGAAGAAATTTTTCAATTTCCTTTTAATTTCTTCATTGACTCACTGGTCATTCAGGAGCATATTGTTTAGCTTCCATGTATTTGTATCATTTCCAAAATTCCTTGTTATTAATTTGTAGTTTTATTCCATTGTTTTCAGAAAAGATGCTTGATATTATATCAATTTTTTTAATGTTTTAGGACTTGTTTTTTGACCTATCATATGGTCTGTCTTTCTGAATGATCTATGTGTATTCTGCAGCTCTTAGATGAAATGTTCTGTAAATATGTGTTAGATCCATTTGATCCATAGTACAGATTAAGTCCAGTGTTTCGTTGTTGATTTTTCTGTCTGGAGTATCTGTACAATGCTGAAAGTAGGGTGTTGATGTATTCAGCTGTTTTTGTATTGGGGCCTATCTCTTTAGCTCTAATAACATTTGTTTTATATATCTGGATACTCCAGTGTTGGGTACATATATATTTAAAATTTTAATTTCCTCTTGCTGAAATGACCCCTTTATCATTATATAGTGAACTTCTTTGTCTCTTCCTGTAGGTTTTTCTTGAAATCTCTTTTGTCTGATATAAGTATAGTGACTCCTGCTCTTTTTTGGTTTCTATCAGCATGGAATGTCTATTTCTATCTTTTTATTTTCAGTTTAATTTTGTATTTATATGTAAATTTTGTTTGTTATGGGCAAAAGAATAATGGGTCTTCTTTTTTTACCCATTCTGCCAGTTTATGACTTTTGATTGGAGGGTTTAGAACATTCCTGTACAATGTTATTATTGATAAGTAAGGATCTACTCATGTCATTTTGTTGTTATTTTCTTGTTGTTTTGTGGTCTTCTTCCCTCTTTCTTTCCTTCCTGTCTTTCTTTATTGAAGGTGATTTTCTCTGGTGATATGATTTAGTTTTCTTGCTTTTTGTTTTTTGTGTTTCCACTGTAGAATTTCTGGTTTGAGGTTACCATGAAGCTTGCAAATACTATCTTATAACCCATTATTTTAACCTGATAACAACTTAACAGTATTTGCGTAAATAAGCAAACAGAAAAGGTGCTAATAGAAACTCTGCACTTTAATCCCATTCCCTTAGTTTTTAAGCTTTTTATTGTTTCTATTTGTTTCTTGTTGTACTCACTATGTTTGGAAAAGTTATTGTACTTATTATTTTTTATTGGTTCATTGTTTAATCTTTCTACTTAGGATGAGTAGCTTACATACCAGTTACAGTGTTATAGTATCCTGTATTTTTCTGTGTACTTACTATTACCAGTGAGTTTTACACCATCAGGTTATTTCTGTTTGCTCATTTAATTTTTTTTCCTTCTCATTGAAGTACTCCCTTTAGCATTTATTGTAGGAAAGGACTGGTGTTGATGAAATCCCTCAACTTTTGTTTGTCTGGGAAAGTCTTCATTTCTTCTTTATGTTTGAAGGATATTTTTGCCAGGTATACTGTTCTGGGATAAAAGTTTTTTTCTTTAGCATTTTAAATATGTCATGCCACTCTCTTCTGGCCTATAAGAGTTTTCCACTGAAAGGTGGGCTGCCAGATGTATTGGAACTTCATTGTATGTTTTTTGTTTCTTTTCTCTTGCTGCTTTTAGGAACCTTTCTTCATCCTTGGCATTTGGGAGTTGGATTATTAAATACCTTGAGGTAGTCTATTTTGGGTAATATCTGCTTCGTGTTCTATAACTTTCTTGCACTTGAATATTGCTATCTTTCCCTATGTTTTTGAAGTTTCTTGTTGTTATCCCTTTGAATACTATTCCTACCCTCCTCTCTTTCTCTACCTTCTCTTTAAGGCCAGTACCTCTTACATGTGCCCTTTTGAGGCTGTATTCTGGATTCTGTATGTGTACTTTGTTTTTTATTCTTTTTATTTTTTATCCTCTGTGTATTTTCAAATAGCCTGTCTTCAACCTCCCTAATTCTTTCTTCTCCTTGATCCATTCTGCTATTAAAGGACTCTGATGCAGTCTTCAGTATACCAATTGCATTTTTCAGCTCCAGAATATTTGCTTGATTCTTTTAAATTATTTCATTCTCTTTGTTAAGTGTATATGTTAGAATTCTGAATTTCTTCTTTGTGTTGTCTTGAATTTCTTTGAGTTTCTTCAACACAGCTATTTTGATTTCTTTGTCTAAAAGGTCACATTTCTCTTGTTTTTCCAGCACTGGTCCCTGGTGCTCTATTTAGTTTACTTGGTGAAGTCATGTTTGCCTGGATGTTGTTGATACTACTAGATGTTCTTCATTGTCTGGGTGTTGAGGAGTTAGGTATTTATTGTAGTCTTCACTATTTGGATTTATCTGTAGCCATCCTTCTTGGGAAGGCTTTCCAGATATTTGAAAAAAGCTTGGATACTGTGATGTAAGCTGTTTCTGCTGTAGTAGGCATCCAAAGCCCAGTCTTCTGTAGTTCTTGCAGACTTGTAGAGATACTGCCTTGATGGTTTTGGACAAGACCTGGGAGAATTCTCTGGATTACCAGGCAGAGACTCTTGTTCCCTTCTTCTACTTTCTCCCAAACATACAGATTATCTCTTCATTCTTAGCCACCTAAAGCTGGGGCTGATGTGACACAAACAGCCCGGTTGTCACCACCACCATGACTGTGCTTACTCAGACCTCAAGCCAGCACAGCACTGGGTGTCACCCAAAGCCTGCTGTAACCACTCCCTGGCTACTGACTATGTTCTTTCAAGTCCCTGGGGTTCTACAGTCAGTGGGTGGCAAAGCAGCCAGGCAGACATAATTCTGGGTTTGAGTCCAGTCTCCACCATCTTCCAGCTTTATGATGTTTCCTTTCCTTCAGGGAAGCAAGGCCGCCCAGGCCCTGGGTAGGTCCAGAGGTGCCATCTGGGAGTCAGTGACCAGAGTCAAAAAACTTCAAAGTCTACCTGATGTTCTATAGTACTGAGGCTGAGCTGGGACTCAAACCACAAGATGCAGTACTTCCCACTCTCTTTCTCTTTCCAAAGGCAGAGGAGCCTCACTTGGTAGCTATCATTCTTAGGCCACAAGGAGTACTGCCAAAATACCTCTGATCTTCCCTTAAGGAAGTTAGCTTGTGGTGATTTCTACCTGGCCTGGGACTCACCATTCAGAGCAGTGGGCTCCCCTCTGGTCCAAGACAGATCCATAAATGCCATCTAGGAGCAATGTTCTCAAATCAGGGACCCCAAGAGCCCACTTGGTGCTCTAAACCCCTGTGGCTATGCTGGTACCTAAGGTGCAAAAATAAGTCCCTTTTTCTCCCTGCTTTTCTCTAGCAGAAGGGATTTTGCCCCATAGCCACCACAGCTGGTTATGTGCTGAGTCCCTCCCAAAGCCAGCAAGTATCAGCGGCTCACCCAAGGTCCTCAACATAGTACCTGGGTATCACTGCTGATTATTTAGAGCCCAAGGGCCCTTCAGTTAGCAGGTGATGATTGCTGCCAGAACTGAGTGTTTTCCTTCAAGACAGCAGGATCTCTTCTGACCCAGAAATGTCATCTGGGAGCTACAGCCTGGAACGGGGGACTCTCTGCTCTTATTGGTACCCTATCCTGCTGTGGCTGAGCTGGTGCCCAAGATGCAAAACAAAGCCCTTCCTACTCATCCCTCTCCTCTCCTCAAACAGGAGGAAAGGGTCTTTTGGAGCCATGAGCTGTGCAGCCTGGGGTAGGGGAGGAGTGATGCACTCCATTAGCTGCCCCAGCTGGTGTCTCAGTATTTCATGAGTGACCCCAGTCCCCTGTCTTTGGGCCAGGTTCAGCAATAGCTCTCTCCTAAGACTTTCAGTCCTTATGGCCTACAATGCCCTTCAAGTTTACTTGGAGACATAGAGCACTGTGGGCCTTGGTGGAGAGGTTTGTGGGAACTCAAGTTCTGATCACTAGGATTGGTGATTTCCCTTTGGCTAAGGCTGATTTAAATGCTCCCTGCATGTGCGGGCATCAGCTGAGTTTGTTCCAATTTTCCTTTTTGCTCTAAAGGACAGCACTGAGTTCAATGCCTCACAATTCCTGTGTTCTTTCTCCCTGACCCCAAGAAGCTCTCTGCACCATGCAGCTGCTGCTGGGGGATAGGGGAGGGTGGGCGTCAGTGATTCAGGGCTGTTTTTTCTGTCTTCAGTGCGTCTTTCAGCAATATGAAGTTAACACCAGGTACTCTGAGTACACACCTGAATTTTATTTTCTATGAAGGTGTTTTTGTGTGTGTGTAGATGGTTGTTAAGTTGGTGTCCTTGCAGCAGGGATGATCAGTGGAGCCTTTTATTTTGCCATTTTGTGCCGCCTTCTTTTCTGTTGTTAGATATGTATTTATAAAAATTGTATAAACAGCTGTATGCCTTAGCAAATATGTATCTCTACCAAATTAATTATTTATAATCTTTTACGTATAAATTAATAAAGATTAAACCAAGTTCTAAGGAAATTATCAACAACCTATAAATCTTTACAAAGATCTAATTATATATTTCTTTTAAGAATTTAAATTATTTCATCTCTTTTTATTACTTGACCTACCATTAAGACAATCTATAATAAAAAAAAGTATATTAGCACACATGGTATAATCAGACTGGTAATCAGGAAGCAATACAAAACGGTCCTTTGGCCATCTATACTTTCTAGAGCAGTAAATCTCATAAATTCACTTACCAAGCCCAGGAATAATGACTTTTAAAAGCCTTGAATATCAACTAAGACAAATTACTCCAATTCTGATTTCTCATATACACAAAGATAAAGCTTTAGATGTGATCATTGTTTAATGTAGACTTATCTTTAAATTTTTTAATTAAAAACTACAGAAGGGAGTAAACAGCAAGCCAAATGATTTAAGAGTAAAACTCACTTAGAAAGCATTATATGTGTCTAAATATACATGAGCATGATTATATACATACATGAAACTGCAATTTTATGGCATTCTAAGTAACTCATTTAAGTACATTTTGGCATTTAAACAAAGATCAAATCAAGCTTTAAGCTTGTAAGAACATAATTTTCATTTTTAATTTTTTAAATATAAAAAGGTAGCTAAACACAAAGTACAGATCAGAAAACCCTCATTTAATATAGATTATTTTGGAAATTAAAAAATTTGTAACATGGTGGCTTTCTTACCCACCCTAAAATGTACATAAAGCCTCTTCCCCAGATTTATACTTCATACTTAGTAACAACCTAAAAGTTTTTCAAATGTATGAAAAAAATCTACCATGACCAATTTAAATTACCTAGGAAAGGGCAGGAGAGGGGATCAATATTCAGAGTCAGTTAGTTGCACACAGATGGAAAAATGCTTTCAGTCACTCCCAAATATAACCCTACATTACCTTATATATAAATCACAACAAAAATAAAAGTGCCTACATTACAGAACTGTGAAAGTTTGTTTAAAAAAATAATAAAACTGTTGGGTATCATTGGAATAATGTAACACGTAAGGCTGGAAAATACTGATACTGAAATAGAGTTAAGACTCAATACACAAGTTTACTTTAAAAACGAAAGGAAAGAAAGAAAGAAAAGTTTGCCAGAGAAATAAATGCTAGATAGGAAAGCAGGACTTTCAGCAGGATAGCCTTTTAGACCAATTTGAAACAACACAGACACATTACACCCTACAATCAACCCACCAGAAATTCTGAAATAAAAAGGAAAAAAAGACTAAACCAAAGTAAAAAACTTCTTCCAAAATCTCATGCCCCAGTGAATCTCACAGGGAAAATTCCCGACACTGAACTTTGTCCGCCTGCCATTTCTCCCTTTAGCAGCATCACCTCTTTTCTCGGTTAGGACGTTTGCTCCATCTGTATCTAGTCATAGCAAATCCAATCTCCTGGAATCAGTTTAATAAGCAGAGGAGATTATACTGGAGTCAGCTGAAGGACATACTTTAACCAAAAGTTCTAAATTAACAACCAAGATTGCAGACCTCAAATTCTTATTCTCAATTCAGCATCTGATCAATTATTTGGCACTAGCTGGATAAAGGTCTTAATCGAAATTTGTGAGCCGAGGCAGATGTAGTTAAATACTAACCAATATTTGCAGTCTATGAGTTAGTTTCAAACTTAAAAGGCAGGTATAGATAGCCACACTTAAAAGTATTTCAGAATTGGAGAGGAAACATTAATAACAACATATAAATAAAACCAGGCAGATTAGCTTGGCAAACAAAAATTCTGGAAAAAAAAATTGAACCAATCATATCTCATTGATAATTAGCAAAAATGGGCATTTTCCCACCCTTAAACTAGTTTAATCACAGGCAGATGTCTTTCTACTATACTAAGATTTTCTATATCCATTTTCCCTAATCTTTAGAGCTTGATGAGAAACCATTTATTCTACAAAGAAATACAGCATATATGGCCACAGTCTAAATATGCTTAGAACTGGAAAATTATGTCCCTTAAAAAAAAAAAATCTTGCACTGTTACATCATTACTCTACGGTAATTCAATAGGTGCTGGGATCTGCCCTCACCAAAAAGCATGGCATTCACTGCCCAGGGTGAATACTAACACTGCACAAAGAGAAGCAGTAACAGCAAAGTCTCCATAGAACTCTTTCTATTTATTTAACTGTGTATGAGCATTCAGTTAATGCTCCAAATTGAAAATAGTGCAATAAAAGCAACTTTCAATATATAAACAGACAGGAAGCTGCGATGCCAGTGGCCACTTGGCACTGCAAGTAGGGAAAATAAAGCAGTCTGCATGAGTGAAGCATGGATTGGGGAGAGGAGAAAAGGGGAGGCACAGGAGGCAGATTTCAGACAGACAGTGACACAAAACTGTTGTACTGCTGGATGTTTCGTTTGAGGATGTCTGAGCATGGGCCAAGAACACATTCAAATCTAGGTCGGTCCCGCTTAACGCACTTCAAGGGGCCACGAGCAACGACTGTGGCAGCACGAGGACGATTCATCAGTAGTGCAATTTCACCAAAATAATCAGAAGGCCCCAATCTTCCCACTTCAACAAACTCTTCATTTTCTGAGTGACGTTGTAGCACAGCAGCTGACCCCTCTAAAATAATGAAGAACTCATCCCCTGGTTCTCCCTGCACCACAATCTTCTGCCCATCTTCAAACTACACTGGTTCCAATGCATGAGCTACCGTAAGATGTTCCCACTTGTCCAGAGACTCTAGAATAGAGACTTTACTGAGGAGTTCCTCATACATCTTCCCCTTTCTCAGTGTGCTTCCCATGAGGATTCTTCTATAGCTGTCTTGGTCGATGCCCCACAATTTCACATTTGTCTTTGCTTTGACAGTGGCTGCTCTAGGTGTTCCATAAATCAAAGCAAGTTCTCCAAAGCTCCCTCCTTCCCCAACACTAGTTGCCCATTCATTGTTGACATAGACATCCGTCTCTCCTTGATCAATCACATAGAAGTTATCCCCTTCATCACCTTGCTGAATCACAGTCTCTCCTGCGATAAAGGAGACCGAAAACATGGCATCAAAAATATCACTTCTCTCATTATCATCAAGATGTGAAAACAGCACATTTTTCTCAATGGCTTTGGCTAAAGCAGCCATCGTCTTGTAATCTTTTGGTATAACCTTTCTAACATATGATGTGGCATCTTCCTCCGTGTAGACCTCAGCGCTAATAGCCCTCGTCGCCTCCGACCTTTAACCACTGGGTTGGGTGGAGGAGGAGAGATCTCATCTTCCCTTGAGTCTGTACGAGTGCCTGCTTTCTGCAGATTCTGAATCTGTTTTGCCTCCTTCTCCAACCTCTCAAAGTATTCCCTGAGGAATACCATGGGTCTCTCAGGTCGAGCAGTGCACAACTGCACAATAGAATCTTTGAGCAGTGCTTGAATGTTATGCTTCTGGACGTAGAGTTCACATTCTTGAAGGCTGCGTGCCTCCTCGCTGGCGGCAGTACTGCCAGACTCCATGGTTCTCTGGGGACGGGCAACGGCGGGCGCAAGGCTGCGGGTGCGAGGTGGCGGCGTACCGAGCTCCCTCAGCGCTTTGCTCCCAGCCCCGCTCCACTCTGCGATAGGGGCTAGGCGACAGCTCCACCGGAAACGGCCCTAATTATATATTTCTATGTCTCTTCACTGTCCCCTCACTCATACGTACTTCCTAGCCTTTGGTATCTATCATTCTAATCTCTACCTTCTTAAGATCAATTTAGTAAAGTAGTGTGACTATAGTTAACAACAATGTATTGTATATTTCAAAATAGCTAGGAGACAGGACTGGAAATTTTTCCAATGCATATAGATAATAAATGAGGTGATGAATACCTCAAATACCGTGACTTGATCATTACACATTATATACACATAAGAAAATATCACATGTACCTCGTAAATATGTACAAATATTATGTATTGATAAGAAATTAAAGTTTAAAACACCTTTACAAATTTTATGTTACATTATACATATACATGGCCCAGTGTTTTTTCCATGTAACTATTAATGGGCCATGTGAATTGGGAACATAAATAGGCCTTGAACCCACATAATTCCGAGTTTGAGTCCAGTCTCCACCATCTTCCAGCTTTATGATGATTGCCAGGTTATTTAACATTTCAAGACCTCAATTTCATTGTCTACAGAATTGGAACAGTAATACGCACCTGATAGTCTTGTTCTTTGGGTATTTATAGTATTCTATCGAAGGCAATGAGCTATTTAAATTCAGAATACTGCCATTACTGTATTTGGAGGGTTGTTGTTTTTGTTTTTTTTGTTTGTTTGTTTTTTGTGGGTTTTTTTTTTTTTTTTTTTTTATATTACATTGCAAGAATTATTTTGTTAATTCTTTTCAGTACACAGAGAAAGCAGATACTTGGTAATCTTTACAAGGACAGGATGGATGGCCATCTTTCTGATCACTCTATCTTTAGGGCCAAGCATAGTGTCTGACTCATGACAGATACTCAGTAAGTATTTTTGGACTCAACAAATGAAAAAGCATTTATGCATTTTGCCTTTAAGTTATAATTCAGCAATTTAGAACAATTGTGAAATGCTCAGATTAGTACAACAAGTGCATCTTATAATGCTTTGTAGTACAGGAAGTTTTAACAGTCTTGAGTGACTAGAGCAAACTTTTAGCAAAATACTACCTAGTGGAAGTTTCACTGAGTCATCCTGAACATGCCAGCAGGCTAAGCTCTGAATAGCAGGTCATTTATATATTGGCAAATTTCTAAATATTAGAAAATCTTGAAAATCTCTAAGCCTTGTGGATATTTTAAATTTTAATTTACTTAAGAAATACAGCATCTTGGGCTGGCTAGGCACTGCAGAGAAAGATGAGTAATCTGAATAAGCTAATAACATAGAAAGAAAGAGCAGACATCCAGTATCAGGTTATAGATGCTACAATTGAGGTTTGAACAGCTTGCCAGGGAAGCCGAGGGCAAGAGGTATAATCTTACACTTGGATGAAGTGTGGTATCCTGGGGTGTGGTGAAGTGACAGAATAGTGCCAGGAAATGTATCTTAGAGGTGTCAACCATTGGAGCTGGGTTATGAAGGATAGCTAAGATTTAGTAACTAAAATGAGGATGTCACAGGCAGAAGAAACAATATTTGAAAAGCCCTGGGTTGAGAGAAAGAATGCCATATTTTGTAAACAACAAGGCATCTATATAGGTGGATTTTAGATTAAAGGCATGTGGAGAAGAGGGTGAATTAGGCCTAATATATCAGGTTCAGGAGTTTGGATTTTATTTATCAGGGCATAGTGAAAATAACTGTACCTTTGTCCTGATACATGCTTTGGGTCTCCAGTATATGTATCACTTATCAAACTGAACTGTAATAGACTGACATTTTTAGGCCTAGATTACTATGGTTTGTAGGACCAATGTGATTTACATAATGCTCCCTAATGTGTTGCAATTCTGTGACTGTGATCTGTGACTATAATAATTATCATGTTTTGCACATGTATGTTTATTGAAGCACTATTTAAAATAGCAAAGACATGGAACCAATCCAAATGTTCATCAATGATAGACTGGATAAAGAAAATGTGGTACATATAAACCATTGAATACTATGCAGCCATAAAAAGGAATGAGATCATGTCCTTTGCAGGAACGTGGATGAAGTTGGGAGCTATCGCCCTCAGCAAACTAACACAGGAACAAAAAAACAAACACCTCATGTTCTCACTCATAAGTGGAAGTTGAAAACTGAGAACACATGGACACAAGAAGGGGAACAACACACACTGGGGCCTGTAAGGAGGGTGCTGGCTGAGGGGAGGGAGACCATTAGGACTAATAGCTAATGCATGTGGGGCTTAAAACCTAGATGACCAGTTGATAAGTGCAGCAAACCACCATGACACACATAACTTGTATAATAAATTTACACATTCTGCACATGTATCCTGGAACTTAAAGGAAAAAAAATGATCATGTTTGTATCCTTGCTTTGTGCTGCAACCTTTCACAGCTTTTAGTGAGCCCACTTTGGTAACCCCTCTCCCAACTTTCTAAATTATGTTTTCTATTCTGCTATATACTAACAAATTAAATCATTAAACTTGCTAGAATTATGTGTGAATTAAGACTAAGTTCCGGCCGGGCGCAGTGGCTCAAGCCTGTAATCCCAGCACTTTGGGAGGCCGAGATGGGCGGATCACGAGGTCAGGAGATCGAGACCATCCTGGCTAACACAGTGAAACCCCGTCTCTACTAAGAAATACAAAAAATAGCCGGGCGAGGTGGCAGCGCCTGTAGTCCCAGCTACTCGGGAGGCTGAGGCCGGAGAATGGTGTGAACCCAGGAGGCGGAGCTTGCAGTGAGCTGAGATCCGGCCACTGCACTCCAGCCTGGGCGACAGAGCGAGACTCCGTCTCAAAAAAAAAAAAAAAAAAGACTAAGTTCCATGTAAAGATATAGAGTACATTTGCTACCATAGGTCTGCTCTTGTCCATGGCAAACAATGCCAATTGATCATAGTTTCTATTCTCATAGAGTCGACTTAAGACCTCAAAATTTCTTTTTAACACAGCTCTGTGTTTCAGGCAGCTATTACCTAATTAGTAGAAGTTGTTAAGAGTGATTAACTCCAGTTTTTATGACTAGTCTAAGAACTCTCTTTTGAGTACATTTTGTGAGTCTGAACGCAGGAGCTATTTGATTTCACAGATTTTCTTTGTTGTTTAATTTTCGTTTCTCAGCTATGGTCACAGAGGTGAGAGTGTCAGAGAGTGCAGGTATTCCTGCTCCAAGCACTACATGTTCATGCACTTTAATTGCTTAAATTATTAAGTAGATTAAACTTTTAAATTAAAGCCTGGCCTACCAACAAAACTCCAGGCAACCAAAGGATTTTATGAGCATTCTTGTGATTTGGTCTAGGAAAAACTGGTCTGAGCATCACAGATTATTAAAACTTCGAAGTCCCATAAAATTACTATCTAATTTTACTCCACTAATTTTGTGGATGTGAAAAAAAGATGACCAGAGAAGCTAAGTGACTTTCTTAATATAACACAGTGAAATCAAGCCTAGAGCCCAAAGAACTCAATTTTATAAAATCCTCTGTGTACACCTTCAGAATAGAAAAGGTAAACTCTAGTTAAAGTGAAATTATTCCCGAGCTGATTTCATACTAGACTCTGAATTAATGAGATTTTATTGTTTAGAAGTGTAGAAAATTTGACTATGTTTTCTTACCTTATGCAAATATCACTGACTGAAGTTATATGACAAAATGTTTTAAACTTGGGCTCCCTGCATTTTCTCTCTGCTCTAATTTATCTTTCCAGGGGAGCTGAAGGAGATGTTGAAGACATCCTGCTTTCAATAAGCCAACTGGATCCTCCTGTGGTTAGTTCACTTAACTTTCTGTCTGAGGCTCCAACTGTCCCCTTGACATTGTATTGGCACAGTCTCCATTATATCATATCTCAGACTCAGTAAATTGAATAAAAATATTTTATTGGTTGATTTATAGGAATAAGCAACATATCCCTGAGTTATCAGAAAATACTTGCAGTTGAAATTGTAAAAGATTGATATTTTATAGAAAACATTGTTTACTATCTCTCTGGGCACTAGGAAACATCCCTTAAAAAGGGTAGTTTGCCCCTGTCTAAAACCTCTGTTTTGTTTTCCCCTGTGACTAATTTCTTGAGGTCGTTTTAGAAGTCCTGATCATTATAATTGTTAATGAAATGTTTAAAATGTATGTGTAATTGTGTATTGGTAAGAGTTAAACATACATATGGAATGCCAATTTTTGCTAAGAAGCTTTTTTTGAGATTACCCAGTAACAGCAGATGTTAGGCATGCTTGCCTGTAGGTAAAATATGAATGTTTTAAAGTACTTGAATTTACTGTTAGCACGAGCACCTAAAATATGTAAAAGTGATTGACTCCCTCCTTCCCTGGATCCACATATCTTCCTAAACGATAGAATGTAAGCTGCCACTGTGCTTCAGTTAAAATGGGGGCAGTCACTTTAACAGAGCCTTGTGTCCTGATTGCAGTGGCATGTGGCTGCTGTACTCCAACTGGTGGGGCCCTTGCCCTCTCATGCAGGGAAACAGATGACCCAGGGGCTAGAGGTTTTGGATACACATTCTCCTTGTTCTCCACATATTGTGCCAACATTTAGGATTAAAAGTGTGTGATGGTGTGTTTCCTTCTAAAATTCTCTATCTCTTCTTTGGGAGTCTGGAACTTAGGGTGGCGAGTGTTAGCAAAATAGAGTATATTTGCTTTTGTTCACTCAAGATTTAATACAGAGGAAACTTAATCTTCATACATTTTGTTTTCACATAACTCTAAATGGATTCCTTTGAGCTAGAATTGGCAGCTGTTTCCTGATATGTAATGGAAGCATATGCACCTTAAAGAGGATTTAGAAAGGAATCTGATGATATGAGGAAGATTCCCATTAAACAAAGTGAAATTTGACCATACATCATTCATAGTATTTCATGAGGTAGAAAGAAAATATTGTTGAGAAGAGACCAATGTAGTAGCATAACATATTTTACAGAGTAAACTTTTTAGGTTATTATCATGAGCACTCTTACTAAGTGAGAGTAATGCAGACTTAAGAACGTTTCGCTTATTATTCTTAATTAAAGACTAGTGACAGCACTAAGGCTGATGGCGAACAAAGCAAAAATATCTAGTATTGCAATGTATTTTTTCCTATCCTTTCTTCTCTTCATTCCATCATTCTGAGTTACATGGATCTTATGGAATAACATGATGGAGTAATGAAGGTCATCATGGGAGCCACAATTTATTGCTTAAATCAACTTAGAGCAGAATCATTGCAGGATTTGCCAATGTCAATATCCATGTCTTTAGTTACCATATATTAAGTTATAAGGTCAGTGTCTTTAATTATTTCAGGTATGGAAGAAAATTCAGCTGAAATTTGCTAGAAAATGAGTTGTGTTGGAAAGAGACTGTAGAGACAGGCAAATGGAAGAAGAAAGCTTCTGTGCCCCCACAGAAAGCGACTGAAAAGTTTTAGCATGAGCAAAAGTTCCTATCTAATATTATATGCTTTCCTTTGCTCCCAGGTAAGGTCCTGCTGTTTTGAAAAGGTTCTTTTCTTACCCTTGTCTTGCATACATAAAAAACACTGCCGTTTTTTCTTGACTGTCCAGAATGGTTGATACTGTTTTTAAAAGACTCTTTGTCCCCTTAGTTTTATCTTTAAAGTCTTTCAAGCTATTGGCAACTATACCAAATTTTCTATATACTGTTTTGTAGTGCAGTTTTTCACAGAAAGAAAGAAAGCAGCTTGATCTTTTTGGACTTGAGGCACTGATGAAATGTTCCTGAAGACATTTATGATATAGATACCCAAAAGTAGTATTCAGATTAAAAGCCACTCACCACTAATGAAATCTGGATTGAATGTTTAGTTTGTTCTAAATTTAGAATTAATATTAATGTAGCTGCTGTTTCTCTCTAGATATTTTTATAGTCAATTCAAATTACATTTGTTTGGCCTTTTTCTCTTTTTAAATTAGGGAATGTCCCTCAAATGGGCATGTGCTGAGGTTAATATGACCATGTTTGCAAATAATCAGGGCAATTGTTTTTATATTATTGCATAATATGATTTGGAAAATTTCTTCATCAGTATAAAAATATATACTTGGTCTAGAAAACATTGTCAAATTCATCGTTATTCTCAACTGTCAAAGAGTCTAAGTTGTACTGAATTCTCCTGTGTATGTCTTCATCTATACTTAGCAAAACAAGCTAAAACAGGATATACTATTCTTTTTTCATCTTACATTTCTTTGATTTCCATAGAGGAAAAGTAATTTTTATATGTTCTCTGACAACTACCTTCTCTCAGCAAAACAATTTTTGTTAAGTTCTTTCCTGTTGCTCTAGCAGCCCCTATTGCTTAGTGCTGCTCTCTGATATTCAGATATACTGTTGTGCCAACCGTTTTAAGAAAGCATCCCGTTGTATGCTATAATTAGCCAAAAATGTTCCCGTGAAACTTACAATGGTCATGTTAAAAGAATAAACTGAGATTCCAGTTTGTAAATTAGCTTTGTGGATAGGGCATACATGAATACATTTGGGGTTTGATCACAATAGCTTGAACTAAAACACAGAAAGTTTTTTTTTTGTTTTATCTTGTTTTGTTTTGTTTTACAGTGCAAAGCTGAGGACAAAACTAGAGAAGCAGTAGCTGTGTAGTTAAGCCAACCCAGTTAAATTTACTTATCTTGGGTGACTGCATGCCATACATACTATATGTCCAATACTGCTAAACACTGAGGGTGTTCTGGAAGTACAGATCTTCTGCCTCAGGGAATTTATATTCTAGTTGGGAAGTGTAAGCACTTAGAGACAGCAATAAATTGAATGCTAATGCATGTAATAAATAAGTACTGAGGAATGTAGAAAAGAGAAAAACTCCACCTGAACTTTAAAAATAATACAATCTAAATGCTCATTTCATGCTTAGAAAAATTGAGGTCCAAAACTGTTGAGGAACATGGCCAGGATCACACAGTTTTTAGCCTCACAGAAGAAACTAGAATCCAGATCTCATGGCTCATTCCAGGCTTCTTTACACTAGAGGTGTCTCCTAATTTAAGCCTCAGTTATTTCTTTGACAATGATTTCAAGTCAATCCTTAACTCAGATGCTTATTTCCTGAAGGACTAAGTAATATTTTGACATAAAATTCCTAGAAACCCATTTAACACAATGAAACATAAAAATTGATAATAAAAAAATAAAAATTAAATAAAACATCTATATTCATTTACAGATGATTATTAAATATATAAAATTAATTAGTGTGAAAAAGCTGCTTATGTTTCTTTCAGATAAATATTCTGTATGAGCCATATCAACTCAGAATACTTAAATATGAATTCAGTGAAACTGGGAATGACAATGCCTTGGAGCAATTCATTGTTCAAGAATCTTTGGACTGAATTCATAATTAGAGATTTCTGCTTGAATTGTTATTTGCAATTTTATACATATATACATATTTGGAGAGAGGCAGTTTCTAAGACAATATCTTCTTCCCTGATCTCTTGCTCTCCCATTTCTATAGTAGTTAGCTGAGTCACTGTAGTTGCAGACAGGCTTGTCAGTGATTGCAACTGATAGAATAAGGAGGTATCTGGGCTTCAGTGTTAACATCAGCACAGTTATTAGGCAATCTAAGTGGAATTTTGGCCACAAGAGAGGGAGCACAAGTCAAAGTATTTTAAATCAGGAATTTCCAATATACTTTATTGGATATAAGAGTTGAAGAAGAGGAAGGAATCAAATCCAGGCCTAAAGACATGGAATTACTGTGTCTTAAACAAAAGTGGGAAAAGTAGAAAGGAAATTCTACCTCTGCTACTGATACAAAGAGGCATGGATGTTTGCATTGAGGTGTATTGAGGCAATAGTGAATGCTTTTATTGGAATGGATCTTTGGCACACTTTACTTGATAGTGTATCTATGCTATTATGCTGACAGTCCACCTTGAGCTCACACACATCATTCTCTTCCTTTCAGATATCATTCCACAGAGGCCAGATCATGGCTTGCTGTGCCATTTGGAATGCTCTGAGCTTAAGCAGTTGTCTCAGCAATGCTTTTTATTTGTTTTTCCTTGAGGCCATGCCAAAGTAAAGCTCATTGAGATATAGCCAAAACTTCCAGATGTTGCTGGATGTTATTTTGTGCTCTCTGGGGAAAGCATTGTTTTCCAGTGAAACTCCTCAATTATTTTCTCCAAAACCTTTCTGAAAATTTTACTGAAATAAGTAAAAAATGGAACAAACCTTCAGAGATACGAGATTCTATGAGACATGGTTTCTGTGTCTCAGAAACATCTGCATGGTGTCAATCCCGAAAGAAGAGGCTGAAGCACAAAATATGATTGAAAGAGTTTACCTGAGCCAAAGTAAGGAAAGCTGCCTGGAAGACTCAGACCCAAGTAACCCTGGATATGAGCTCCATTTGGCCTTTGTTACAAGCAGGTTTTTAAAGGCAAAAAAGGACAGCCAGTGGGCTGTCACAAAGTTGTTTGTCAGGAATTTTCACTGGTTTACAGAAATTACATTGATTATTAATTGGCTATATATTTTTATGGTATAGGGTATTGGATATCGTGTCCAGCGTAGCATTATTAGGTTAATTTGTAGCTACTTGTGGCAAAAGTTTGCAGTTTTTCTAGCTAAATACATAGCTCAAAGTGGGGGGAAGTAAGATGTGATTGTTATTTCATTTGAATGCCTTTCTGGGCCTGATAATTTGAAAGGCCTCACATTCCTTAGATAGAAGTTCTTTTCTTTACTCGTTTCCCTTTTTTGATAAAAAATCT